TTGGATTGGAAGGTTCGCTTCTAAATGTTTCGCCAAAACTGTTTGCTTTTTGCAAATTGTTTCGAGCCCAGTTTCCATCTCTATTTCTGATTGGTGGGTTATGTATAGTAGGCCTTTTTAATCGTTTGGTAGCTTTCCACAGTGAATAATCTCTACTTTTATTATTAGTTAATTCACTTAACAATTCGCCAATCGACTTATTTTTAATGCTCCGTATTTCACGTTTTAGCTGTTGTGTTGCATTGTTTAAAGTTGTTTTATCATCTGGTGCTCTAGACTGTTGCCATTTTTTTCTGAGTTAAGATTTCTGATCTCTGTTGGATAATTATTATCTTGTACTCTGCATCTAATCTCAGGAGTGTTTTCCCACGCTGCTTGTTAAATATTTTTGACAAAACATTCAACTTATTTGTCTAATTGTTCTGCAGTGGAATTGAGATATTAATTAGTTCTTCTAGGTTGATTTTAAAACTTTTACACTCCTTTCCTTTGTTGACTAGTTTAGGTAAATTTTCTTTTTTAAATACAGTAACACTCAATGTGTAAAGTATGGGACCAAGTATTTAACATGATAAAAACCTTATTGACCAAAAGACATGCTGGAATTTAAAATAAATAAATGTTACAATATTTTTTTGAAATACGAGAATAGCTATTTATAATACGGAGCGCGTCTGGTTGTCACTGTAGAATATTACGTTTTGTTCATATATTTTTTTTTTTTATTTCCGTATCTACCATTTCTTTTAATATTCAAGTCCTAATGTACAATGGCGTTTCAAATATTAATAAAGTCACGTACCGAATCGATATAGCTACATAAATTTGAGGATGTCTCTCGACCAGACGTAGAATATGGAGGCAAAATGTAACAGATATCAAACCCTATTTTTTATTACGGGGTAGGATATTAGGAAATGAAGAAAGATGTTGAGAAAGGTCTGAATGAATAATTCGGAGCAGAACACGAAGGCCGACGTCTACAGGGAGCAGTATCGTTCCTAATGACAATAAAATCAAATACATTTTTAATATTTATAAATTCAGATCGATTTAATGTAGATTTATCGTGTTAATACTCGTGAACCTTAAGTGAATAAATAAAGGCATACATTGACATTTTTAATTAAATAATTTAATAATTTTGTTTGTATTTTATCTATGTTAATACTATTTGTCTTGCATGTACTATATTATTTTTTATTTGTCAACGTCCTATTTTGAAATTGGGTGTAAAACGTGGTAAATAAAAATTATTAAATAGATTTTAATATAAGCTACGTCTTTGGAACCACATCAATTCTAAATTTAGATTTGCTTCTGTATCATTCATCGAAGTCGTCAAAAAAAAAAAATGTTGTTTCAGTGTTAACTGCAGCAGTCAGCACTCAGAAATGATAATAAAACTCTGATTAAAAATAGAAAAATAACTTATAGAAGTTTGCAATTAAATAGATAAAATGTTTTCTCATTAATAAATACTTATTAAATGTATCTTCTACTTATATAAAAATAATCCTGAAAATGGGATGGGGGTATTGAAAAAAGATAACAGATTGCATCGTTAAACCGGAAAACAAATGATAAACGGTAGACTCGATTTAAAACACACGATCCCTTCTACAATTCTACGCTTCAAAACCATTACTTCGAATTACGAATAGATATTATCTATAACTAGGAATAAATAAAGAATAAGTAAGTTGTTATATAAAAAATATAATATTAACACTCCACTAAACCCCCAGTAGGCGGCGATAGCCAATTAATTACTTTGCCAAATGATGACGTAGCTGTGTTCTTTTAATTTATTGTAATCGCACCCTACCAACTACTATCCTGAGCTTCTGAATAATCGGGTTTTGACGACAGTCCTGTACACGCACCTTTGAACATTTAGAACCAAGCGGTAATATTATAAATTCCTTGATACAAAAAATTTGCTCTATTTGGAAAACTCTCTTCTGTCTTCCTCAATAAGATTTTTCGTTCATTTCAATTCTTTATGACCTGAACCAACAAACTGACTATTTTCACAATAAAGTTGTTTGCGTTTTAAATCATTTTCTGAAAATTTTGCAAATAGCGAATTCTATATCAAAAATATTATCAAAAGATCAGTACTTTATATCAAGAAAATTCCTGATAAAAGGCCACGAAAAATAACCACTTTAAATGTTCGAGAGGTCATCTGGAAAAGAGATAAACTTGGATTTATTCCGGCTGCCTTATTTTTAAGTTCTAATTAGCTCTTTAAATTGTTTTACGAAGCATTTAGTTCCGGTGCTGGACTGTAGTTTGTTTGTTTGTTATTGTTATAGATTGTGTTGGCCTACTGGTTATTTTATTACTTATGCCACTTTTTTAATGACAGGCCACGCCACTGAACCTGTTTCAATCCATGAAGTGGGAAAAGTCTATTCCGTGACCATTTTTGATTGTGTGGACTACATCCATCTTGTTGGAACCAGATTTCGTTAAGACGATATTCTATAGGAAGATCATCTAACATGCCCTTTAGTATATCTAAATATTTTGGTTTCCTTTAATAAAATATGGTCCCAGTAATTTATTATCTAACAAACCGCACCACATATTCAAAGAGGAACGATATTAACGTCTCACTTCTTGGATTAAGTAAGGATTTTCCGTGGCATAAAAATGTTTATTTCTTCGATTGAACATACCAGAATTTGTGAATGTTGTTTCGTCTCTCCAAATGATATTGTGTGCAAATTTGTTATTAATTCTTACATTCTGTTGAAACTAATTACAAAATCGTAATCTTCTTTCAGGATCATTACGATATAGTTTTTGTACCGCTTGATATTTGTAATAATAGTATCTGTGTCTCTTGACTAACTTATTAACAGCACTTTTTGATGAATTACATTTATTCGAATTAAAAATTGGTTTCGTTGAATGGTTCGTTTCTTCGAACATACGGAACTCTAGGTTTATTGAATGAATTATGTTCGAGAAGAGTTGTAGGCAAATGCCGAAAAATTTTTATATTCGTTTGAATTCTGTCGGGATATAAGTCCTCGTATCTTTGTTTTGCTTTTAACGAATGTCTATTTAATGTACAATTCGTAATGTCTCGTTTTTCTTCTGCAGAGTATCTTACCATATTGAAGTTAATCAATTGGTGCGCCAGTATTATTAATAATAACAACACAAGTCTGCAACTAAAAAACTGCACAGGATTTTTTGACTGTTTTTTGTAGATTTTTTTCTCATTGAAACCAGGAAAAATATATGAAAAATTTTATCACGTTTTCTTGCAAAATTCATATTGACACATCCTTATTTGAAACCTATGGTGAAGAGATGGGCGAAAGATTTCACCAGGATTGTCAGTGATTTCGAGAGACGATACCAAGGAAGATGAGACGTCAACATGATAGTTGATACTGGATGCTTAGGAGGGACACAGAAGATAGGGTGTTCGAAGGAGCATGAAAGAGAAGAAGAAAATGTTTCCCAGTTAGAAAGGGTAAACATGTAGTGCTAAATATGTCACGAAGGAATAGTTTTGTTTCTTTTTTCAATTATAAGAAAAATTATGCATATTTAATTGTAATAAAATATTGATTTTTTCATCGCTGTTGTGCTTTTTTAAAGTAAACTCCCCATTTTTTGTAAAAAAAAACTACGCGAAGGAAGGGCATGGAAGTTATTAAATATCAAATTTGCCAAAAATTTCCCATGCAATTGAAAATAACCATTTTTTTGCAGACCCGTGAATCAATGATAATTTGATGGAAAAATAATTGTAAATAAATAATTAGTTTATTCAAAGCAGTAACAAAAAACAACTGATTTTCAAATGTATTTTGCCTTCAAATTTGTCAAAATTTGTCAAAAATGATATCGGGAAATTTTTTTAATTATTTATCTTATCAAAACATATTTTTTAATGGTCGAATAATTGATTAATTATTGATTCTCATTTATTTTTCCTAATTAATCACTTTATACTCGAAGTATTGTAAAAATAACACTGATTATAAATTCTATACAGATCCGTAACAATAAAATTTGAATTACGGTCCATATTACCCAAAAACCGTCAGTGAATGGTATTGTCTGATACACCGCTGGATGCAGGATGAAAAGATTTTTCGAATAGTGTCATAAAATATCCAGGTCCGTATTAAAAAATAAAAATAAATTGAGGGTGGTTCGGAGAAAACGAAATTTTTGATGCAAAATCTGAATTGTACTATCGAATAAAAAACTTCTAAAATATTTTTGGGTTGTTTCGAAAATAAATGAAGGATGACCAAAAACACAGTGTCTAGGTACACGCTAACTTGTACGCAATTCAAAAATTTATATACACGCGAAACGTCTTGACAGAGTAGGTGAGCTGTGTGCAGGCCGCCGGTCGTAGCTAGATATGGATTGAAATTTTTTTGTAGCGGCGAAGCCGCCACCTTACGAGAAGTCATTACTTCGTTTTCTTGTTGTCACGGCATTATTATTATCTGTTCTTGTATGTGAAATTTGCTTCTAAGGTTTATAAAATACTACTGTGCTAGTCACGACGTAAATGAAAACAAACAAGACGCATTCACACAAACACCTCCCACCACAGCAATGACGTTTCGCGTGTATATAATTTTTTGATTTGTGTACACTTTAGCGTGTACCTAGCAACAGCGGACCAAAAACCGAAATGATGGAATTTCCTTTTATCGTCATATCTCAAGAACCGGTCCTGATTTTTTGGATTACTTTCCACCGCTATATGATGCAACTTTTTCTCCATTTAACCGACCTTCTAACTAATATGGTTTCTAAGTTACCAATACGATCCCATTAAAAAAGTGATATGGTATTTATATTTAAAAAAATTACATTAATTTTTCATTTTAAAGCTAGGATGGCTAAATTAGACCTAGTTTTACAAAATCTAAAACCAAAGTGGAAATTTTTGTCCATATTTGTACTGTTTAAAACTGTTTCTATTAATAATTTATTTATTTTTCTTACAGGTAAGTAGTAACCCCGAAGGACGAAATGCATACTACATGAATTATATGGAAGAAATCAATAAGGTAATATTATTAAAATTTAAGCTTTTACTGTTTTATCTATTAATATTAACATTTCCGTATCAGAATAGTATACTAAACTTAACAAAACATTATTACTCCATGTGAACCACAATTAACACAATGTTTATAAACATTAATATTACATAGGTATTATAATTAACGACAACAAACACACATTATAGGTTCTCACGATTTTTACTGCACTGTAAATAGTAAGATAACACTTTTATTATTCAAATAAAATTATTTTTTTACTGAAATAAAAGATCTTTGTTATTTAAAATATAATTTATAAATAAATAAATCCCATTTAAAATATCCCAAAAAACCCAGCGAGTTTGATTTTTTTTTATTAAACTCGGGTTTTCTTCAACACCATGTATTGAACTGTCTGAACTGATTTTTGTTAAAATTTACAATAAAATCATTATATTATGAAAAGTTTCTGTACAAATAAATGTGAACCACAATTAACACAATGTTTATAAACATTAATATTACATAGGTATTATAATTAACGACAACAAACACACATTATAGGTTCTCACGATTTTTACTGCACTGTAAATAGTAAGATAACACTTTTATTATTCAAATAAAATTATTTTTTTACTGAAATAAAAGATCTTTGTTATTTAAAATATAATTTATTAATAAATAAATCCCATTTAAAATATCCCAAAAAACCCAGCGAGTTTGATTTTTTTTATTAAACTCGGGTTTTCTTCAACACCATGTATTGAACTGTCTGAACTGACTTTGGTTAAAATTTACAATAAAATCATTATATTATGAAAAGTTTCTGTACAAATAAAATTGCCACTGAATCTATTCTTCTGTCACTAAACATACAATAATACAAACATTTTTTAACGATTTAATCTGGTTTAAGGCACTTAGTATAGATACGTACCGAACTTTAAAGTAGGTAAACGATTATTTTTTTACTAATCTGTTTGCTCTGTCAACAACTGTGTAAATACATGGTATTTGAGAATGATTAGAACTACTCGAGCAACAGTTTTGTTAATATTAAATGCAAACAAATCCTGTTTATAGGCATTTAATTAATCTTTTCAGCACTCATGTCGGCTGACGTTTATTACATTATTGAGTGTTTACTGTACACATGGCGTAAAGTTAACCAAATCTATCCCTTTACTGCTAATTTACCTAATATTATTGATACAATAGGTATCAGTGCCGCCATTATATCGGAAAATTTATTAGAAACTAACATATTTTTAATTACATAGGAAAAAGATAAAACAATTATAAGAAATTTGTAATATTGTCAATATACAAAAGTACGAAACTAAACATAATATCAACGATACGTCTTTACATAGTATCAAAGAATGCTTGGCATTAATCTGAAGCAAAATTGTTCCAGATTTCTTGGACACGTTCACGCAACTCCGAATCGTTTCCAAGCCTGTAAACAAAGCTTATTCTTCGTGATATGCCACAAGGTTTGATCGGAGAGAGATCTGGGCTACTGGACGTCAATTTTAAGAGTAAAATATTGACAAGCGGAACCATCTCGCTGGAAGATACATTTCGAATTTATGTAATCGCTTTTGTTCAATTTGTGGTTTCAAATTATTTTTAAGGATGTTAATGCATTTAACAGCGTTCATAATGCCATCTCCAAAGTGTAAGTATTTGACATAGATCCCAAAATCATCACAGATGCCGGAAACTTAACTTTATTTTTAGTTTAATCTAAAATAATCGATTATTCGAAAGTAATCTGAAATAATCGATTAATAGAAAAGAATAGATTAATCGATAATAATCGATTGTCAAAAATAATCGATTAATCGAAAATACTCTCAGGTTTTTGAGGGGCTAAAGAGGGACGACAAGTTATCTCAGATGATTTGCGACAAATACGATCTTGCACCTCAAAAGCATTGAAAAGATCGGTACGTTCCACCGAAATACCCGTCCATTAAGTATTTGGACTCTTGTTGAATCCGTAGAAAACGAACAAGAAAATATTAGACAGATTTGACAAATCGAAGTCGGGTTTCTTCACCAGGACAACGCTTCAGCACACACTGCACTGCATATCAAGAGATTTTTGGTTATGAGAGCCCTGGATTATAGTTTATTTGAAAATGCATGATTGCACAGTTTTTAAAGTCTATATACAGGATTGTTTAAAGCAGAAAAAAGTAAATATTGATACCTTCTTATCTGTATTTTTCCTAGATTTTAGCATGACCACCCAGAAAAATTTCTAGTACAATACATCATAAAACGTAAATAAGAAAACCCTAAGGGATTAACCAATAATTCTATACCTCAGTGACGGGGAAAACGAAATTACTTTAATATAAAAAACAGTAAACGGATACTAGCGTCATATAAACTTATTATAGTTAATATAAATATAGAGTTACATACCTAAATAAATAAGTCGTTTTCCTCCCGATAAGGAGTCCTCATCATCAGTTTCCTCACTTCCCACAGAAATAATAATTGGTTCTATTGTTTCCTCTATTAACATATCAAGTTTCCAGAATTTATCTTCCTCTGGTATGACATATAGCCTTTTGCCAATTGTTCGGAGAAATTTTTGATATGGAGTCACATAATAGTTAACGAACATCTTGTTTAAAGTTTAAATGTTGTATTGTTTATCGCGACATATCCCTTCATTTTAGCCCAGATTAGTTCACTGGGGTTAAGTTCACAGTGGCATCACTTTAACCCCAAGTTATTTTGCTATTTCATCTACACTATACTTCTTAAATTTTGGTGAATGTTGTTTACATAATTGCAATAGCTTTTTTTTATTAATCCCACTATTTCTTTGGTTATTAGCCAATCGGTAAGTAAAGGTTCCTTTAATCTTGAGTGGTAACCGGCATTATGCATAACTATTACAGAATTGGTCGGTATTAAATCTATCATTTGACTGAAATATTCCTCAAAAACATCAGTAATCTTTTCTTTATGGTAGTCTTTCGTAGAATTTGAAACAAATTCTAACAAGCCTCTATCAACAAATCCTTTATCTCCTTCAATATGAGGGATAATTAAACGGCGAAATTTTAAGCCAGCAGACAAACCTTCTATAAATGCCTGACGAGCATTTGTAACCTGTTTATCTTGCCAAACTTTTTTACAAAATGTCCTTCATTTATCCATGTTTTATCGAAATAAAAAATATTTTTGTCTTCTCTTCTTAATTTTCTAATTTCCCTTAAACATTGCTTCCTCTAACAAATAATTTCATATTTCTCTATAAGCGCAGATTTTCTATCGTTTTTCTCCCAAACGAAGTCTAATTCATGTAAAGTTTTCCACAATTTGTCTCTTTTAACGTATGGCAAAGTTTCGTCTCTATTAATGTCTACTAAAAGTTTATCCAAAGTAAGAATCTTTTTTTGTAAATAAAACGAATGCACTTTTCTTCTGAGCAGTTATTTCATAGTATTGTCTATTTGAATGGGTTTTCTCCTAGTTGACGTTTTAGGCGCTACTGTAATACTTAGAAAGTCTATAAATGGTTGCTTTTCCAACTTCAGTTGGACACTTAGAAACTATACTCCGAACCGTACTGTTGAAATGTTCATGTACAAGAGCGTCATGTACATTTAACACTACTAAAATTTTCATGTGCACGGTTAAATTGCACTTTAATTTCACAGGAGTATAATTAGACGTTTGTGCCATTTTTATTCACAAATTCACTTTATCAATATCTCTTTTTATCGCCTATTATTACAGAACTAACAATTCTGCGTGTTACGATCACAGGACTATACAAACAGAAATTTAAATCTTAACTAAAATAATTTACAATCTGCATAACACTTTCTGCAAAGGATTAGAAATTTTAATCCTTTCTAAGAAAGTTGAGGACTACTTAAATTGATCTTGAATTGTAAATATTTTCTACCTCATTTTTGTTGATAAAACTGACTAGAAAATTTAAGACAAGAATTGAAATAAATTGGTATTTTTTAAAATTTTAGGAACAAAACCAAAGATATTATTTTGGAACAAATAATGCTAAACATTTTATTTTAGAAATTCTCCGTCACTGATTTATGTTGGGGTTTATCTCCTGGGTTATAAAAATTTTGGTATCATTCATTTTCAAATAAACTATAGAACATGCACCCTAATCCCGGATCTTGTCTCATTTGACTCTTTTACTAGCTATGTCGCACAATTGTGCGATCACCAAGTTTTCATAGAGACTCACCAGATTGTGACCAAAAAATTGAATTATTTTAGAATTTTAATGCCGGACTGTGAGGAATGTCGAATAGCACACGATACTTTCTTTCTGAACATTCATCGAAAAAGTCGTTAAAAATTGTGAAAGTTTTTAAATATTTTTTGCGATTTTCACCAATTGATGCTTTATTTTCGTAAGCGTATAAATCCACTGACAAAAAACAAGTTTGTCCCGCCAGAAAACCTGCGAAAAAAACACTTTAAAAAAAATTCCAAACCTTAAAAAAAGACCATGAAAATGATTTAAAAAGAGGGTTAAAACGGCACTGCTATGCTTAATGGAAAATTCGAATAAAGCAGTGTAGGAAAATGTAAAGCAATAAACGATTTCATAGGACTAATCCGGTTTTGTCTAGCTACCCATCGTATAAATGTATACCTATTTATAGTTAGAAACAGAAAATGGCGAGAACAAGCTTCAAATTTTCAATTTAACGATTATTAAGCTTGTCGTTACTTCTACCGAAAGTGCTGATATGACAAGTATCATCACTTAACCTGCTCCGAAGTCAGACAGTGAAGAATTTCCTTTAATGAAAGGTTCTATAACGATAGTATAAATAGTTGGCAGAGGTCCAGATGAATTATTAGAGATTACGCCGAAACGCCTTCCTTCGGAAATGATGGCGACGAATCGTCTCGAAACGCTTCGGAGACCTCGTCGACCATTAATTTTCTTAGACGGAGATTGGTAATTACCTTAACGTGGCTGATTCATGAATGTTATGCTCGTCGTGTGTGAA